GTATCCTCGTAATAACCTCATATTATATAATGTATGAACAGGTAGGGATAAAGTCTAGGTATACAGTGAAAACATTGGCCGCCAAAGAGCAATCGTAAATTAGAGCAAACAACACTGTCCATCTACAACCCCATTGTGTATTGTTGTCGTACCAAGTCTGAATGACATCTTAGCAGTCATCAGTCTCCTAGAAACAAGTTGCAAAAAAGGTCAAGTATACTGATTTAGACCTATATTAAGCCCAAAATGGCCGCCAATCGGCTATATGTTATCGAATAAAAAAAATTAACGTGAACAAGTACGATCCAATGTATTGTGTTTGGACCAAAATGGAAAAAAAAGGTTCAATACATTTTGAGAATGAACTCACGGACTGATGGACGGACAGACGAACGGACGGACGGGCGCTCACACCCGAATTCTAAATTCAAAGGAGACAATTTAAACACTGTGACACAGAAACACTAATCATGCGCCAATTACAAGTATACAACTTTCAGTTCACAATTGCGAACTTACTTTGGAGATGTGCCGATGTCATATAGTCGGAGCAGATTGAATATTCGATTCTACGCATGTTCTATTTGTATACATCATTTATTTAGGTTTCTGCTAAACTGACCCATTCAGACTCAAAGAGCCGTTAGTTGGATGGACATCTTGTAATCAATTAGAAACATGTCAACCAAAAAATTATTCCCTACTCAAAGAAATTAGAGAACGTTTTCATTTCATGCAATATCGGGAATGTCGCGTAACATACCACGTGATCTTTGCCGTTTATTAAACATCAGACGTCAGTTGTAGTTGCCTGCTACATGACAAGTAGTGAGCGACGGTAATTGTGTGTGCAAAATTTGATGAAAAAAAAAAAAAGAACTGAATTCAGTAAAATTAAGATAAAAAATATACTACTGAATTATTTTCACCATGAAACATTGTACTAACACATACTTTAAGATGAGGATGGGTAGAATGTAAAAGGTCAATCAAGGTCACCATATGCCATAAATATATCCCTGGTTCAAAAACTAATTTATTGTAACATCCGCCGTTTAGTGTGCGATACACGAGTTATATCCTTTCTATGCAAACCAGTGTCATATGTTGCTCCAACTAATGCAGCGTGTTGCACATCTGTCTGTATTTATTATTTATTCATTTCTTAATAGATGGACACACGTTTCCATTGACTGGTACTTATACAACAAGGTGTGTGGTTTTATTGTTTGAAGTCGATTTGGTATATAAATACATGTAACAAATTACCCGACGTGTGATACATTTCTGGTCTTTGAAACAATTCGAACTGCCACTTACCCATTTTGAATGTCAGCATTTATTAAGTTATATTCTACGAGCACATGCTGTTTACAGTCAATGACAATGATGCCGTGTCTGAGTTAGTGAATACAACCATGTACATACCATACCGCCGAGTAGGCTCATATGTGTCATTCGTTCGCCGACTCACTTTGAGGTGTGAGTATGTATCTGTATCTACGGAAACTTGGCGATATGATTGTAGATTAAATTGGTTATTGAGAGTAGAGATCAGATAAATTCCTCAGTGTGATCACCGTTCCTCAACAGGGACGGCGGTGTGATTCACCAAAACATTTCGCAAACTGGATTCGGCTAATTGAGCGAGCGTAATGACGCGCACCAGTGGCTGTCAGTGTGTCATAACATTTCAGACTGTGTAAGTGCACATAATTTGTGGGGATAACTTTGCCATTTATTATAACGATTGAATGAATGTAATTGCATCGTGTAACGACGATCTCCGGGCGTGCAAACCAGTCCGCAATTTAGCTGGTAATGATGTTACTGTTTTTGTGTTCAACATTATGACGGTGACAGTAATGACCATCGGCGCAAGAACTAAATACATAACAGTTGAATTGTGTATATCTACGCTAGCTGAGCGGCTTCCTGCCAACGTGTCATGGTATATGGTACACATAAGAAGTAAATTGGGAAATATTGTTTCAGTTAGTGGAGTTGATAAGACAATTTCTTGTTACCTACAAGTAAAACGTAAGAATGAATAAAGTCGTTGTGTACACCAATGTATGTTAAACCAATATAACGAGACTGAACTGAAAACAACAGCAATTGTTGAGCTCGTCCGGCCCAAAATATGTTATTTTCCAATTTGTTTCTACCCCATGTTTTTGAAACTTCTCAAATAGAGAATTAGAAACGTGTACACTCAAAAATGAAAATACCCAGAATTAATTCATGTTTTCAATAAATTGTATTCCATCATGATCACAATTGATATTGACTTTAATAAATTGGGGTCAATAGCCTAATTATCGAGAAACTGATGGTTGTATTTTAGTGGATAGTTGCCATTTTGACAGTATTATAGTGCATTTACCATTATTGGTTGTTATGCACAGATATTAAGTCATATCTTTAATTGTAGTCTAAAAAATCATATATTGTAAATGCTGGGGTACTTTTCGTT